ACGTTGTTCCTCTCTTTATATTATGTCATCTTTGTCGACAAAATACTTAATAGTAACAATATCTTCAATATTCAAATAAATTATGTCGTAGAAATAATATCAACATCGTCACCTAAACATAGAGATCAAATGTGTTATCACTTGGACACAGGTTAGAATATCTAACTATAAATAATTATTAATCAATTAGAACATAAATTATAATGTCAGAATATAAAATAGTTATTAATATTATTTTAATTACTAATAAAAACATTTTTATTCATCAATTAATTTCAATTAAATTTATCTTTAATATATTAAAACAAAGCATATATTAGACTTCAAATTTTGAATAAAATTCTACCTAAACAATTTCAAAAACATTATTTTCTTTTCTCTTTTCAACAATATTAATTAATATTTAATAATAATTACTTCAAATCATTACTACACCACTAATTTACATATATTTCAACTATTCAATCAACTAAAATTCTAAATTTTTTCTCACATGTAATATCTAAATTTAACACTACTACTGCATATATATATATTGAAACCCAAAATCTTTAATTAAACCGAAAGAGACATCTTATCTTTTTATCTGCTCTTGAATTTCCTATTGGATTTCTGAAAAGGAAAACTGAACTGCCACTATCAGAAATTATTTTCTTATCCATAAATAGTAATACTAATAAAAGATAGAAAGGAGACACAATTATTCTGCTGTCCCCATCCCTCTCATGCTTACCAAAACCAAGTCATTTCTCTCATTAAAGAATTGAAGTGATTAAAATGTGTGTTTTTTTTATTAGTCTTTGAACACGTGATACAAACTTACAACTAAATGCATTTGTAAACATAAAAATTCAACATTCACCGTTCACTTTTTTGGGATGAAAACACCAATTCACTTTTCCATTCTTCCTCCCCTTTTTTACCAAATTGCATAAAACTTTTTTCTTTATGTGTCAATCACTTAGAATTTCCTCCTTTGTAATATACTCTGAATCAGTTTTAAAATAAAAACTTATCTAATTAAAAAATAAAATAAGCCAGTTCAATTTGAATTTTGATAATCAATTTTAAAAAATTGAATTCATCTAATTCAAGATGGATGTTTGGTTCTACTTTAGCAAGAGGTAAAAATAATTTCACTTTTTTCAAAATAAAATATATATTTAATTAGAATTAATTTTATACAATTAATTCACTTAAAATCAATTTTTTCTACCGCATAATCAAATCCACACTTAATAAACCAAAATCAATTTTAGAAATAGTTAACTCAAAATCAATTTCTCTCACCGCATAAATAAACGTATGATTTATTGTGTATTAGATTTTGAATATCTAAATATTAACTTAATATTTTTGTTAAATACTATATTATAAAAACAAACTAAAGTAATAAATTTGATGTAGAATATATTATATAATTTAATTTAAAAATTGATTAAATTAAACTAATAAGTATTATTAAAAAAATTCAAAATTAATAAATAATAAGTTAATATAGTATTTTTTTACTAATAAAGTATATGTATGTAGTTTACTCATTAATGGTTTGTTTGATGCATAAGATAAGAGATATTATAAAATAATTGATATCATATCATGTCTCAATTTAGTGATGATACATTAATATCATAAATTAATCTTAAAACTTATTTGACTTTTTAAATGCAACTTTTAACTTCAACTTAAGTTGAGTTAGAAATCAACACAATATAATAAGAAAATAAATGACTAAATTTTGAATTAAATTAAATTAAAATTTAATAGAATATAAGTAAAAAATAAACAAAGGAATACTTGAGATTAAATTAATTATAAATAATTAGTTTTTTTGAAAAATTAATTAATTAATTTATTGAATTCAAAAAAAATTTCAAAAAGTTATATATATATATATATATATATATATAGATATATATATATATATATATATATATATATATATATATATATATATATATATATATAACAAAAATAACTCTTTATAGCGATGTGATATTTACGCGGCAACGTGAAATATCACGTTATAACACATTATTAACGACATGAATTTTCATAAGACATGAGATTGTGTGGCAGCTCTGTTGCAACGTGAAAATTATGTCACAAATTTATCACATAATATTCACGTCGCAACAGTTTATCATGTGATATTCATAACACAATACGCAGTACATTTTTTTTTGTCAGCTATAATTCACTAAGAGCAGAAAGAGTAGAGTAGCTGACCGTGAGTTACGACGTGAATTTCATAATATTTTATTTTTAAGTAAGATATTATTCTTTGGGTTAAATTTGTTTTGAGATCTTATAAGTATTTTAAATTTTCTTTTTAATCTCTATTAAAAAATGATATAATTTGATTCCTAAAAAAAATTTATTCATGCAAAATTAGTTTCAACTATTTTCTAAAATTTTGAAAATTGTTTAGTTATCCTTAAACTTTTAAATTTTTGAATAATTTTTTTCATACGTGTTTAGAATACTATAAGATATTTATTTACCATATTTTAGAATTTTAAAATTAGATTAATTAAATATGAATTTTTTTAATTTCAAAAGATATTGATAAAATTAATGAAAATCTCGATTTAAAATTAAATTTTGAGTATTTTTTCCGAAGAACATTTTATAACGTTTTAAACATGTCTATAAAATTAATCATTAAAAAATACACATTATTTTAACAGCAAAGACTAAAATTACATGTATAATAATTTTGTAGGGACTAAAACATGCTATATTTTTTTATAGAAATCAAAAACAAAATTTGATAATTTGTAGGGATCAAAAACATATTTAACCCTTATTATTTAATAAAATTATATTATAATTATTACATACAACTTTATTAATAATATATATATATATAATATATATATATATATATATATATATATATATATATA